GAGCGAACTAGACAGGGCACATCAACGAGAGCCAAGTGAGGTACGTTAGGTACGGACTAGGTACGGATACCTTCCTGTGTATTCGTAGATGTAGGTGTGCACAAGTGGAGGGGGGCTGGCTCCGTTGGAGACTGGCGACGGGAGCCCTGAGGTAAGGGTGAAGGGGGAACGGGGGGGTCGGTCAAAAGAGTCATCTTCAGCATCCTTTCCAATCGAAACATCTCTCAAAATGGACACTGCCGGTCTGTCCCCATACTTTGGGTTGATGAGGTGCAGCAGGGCTGATGCGCGATGGGATGGAATGGGACGGGCATGGGTGGATGGTTGTACGAAAAGAAAAAGAATCGACGAATGCCAATTGGTCCCGTCCGCGGTGTTGTACTCTGGAAGACGATATGGAATTGCAGTCGTGGTGCATGGTTGGTGAGCCATCTCTTTTTCTCCCCTTGCGCCCAGAAACATTTCTGGAAACACAAATGCGCATCGCCGCATGTTGCTTAAGTTGTCGCATGTCGCATGTCGTGTGCTGCCGACTGCTGCCAGGTACTCCCTTCACCCCGAGGTAAGGTAAGGTAAGGTAGCCTCTCTTTGCTGACGATGATGCTGCTCATCCGATCCAGCCATGACTGCCGCTGCCGCCTCGTGCTGTGGTTGCGCTTAATGGGCGAAATAGAGACCCCCAAGTGTCTATTATCGTTTTGGTGGCACTGACTTCGACATCAGCACCAGCACCAGCTCTAGGCAGCGCATGGCACGAACGGCCCCAAGATAGCTCCATTGTCTTGGACCGCAGGGCTGACTTTGTGTCGCTGCACCGAGGTTCGTTACGCCTAGCCGTTTGTGATGCGGCGATCTTTTTGCGTTGCCCGGTGCTGCCGCCACGCAAATTCCTTCCACGAGGAGCAATAAGGTGTGAGTGGTGGTGCTGTACTCCCCGTTGACCGATATCCTTTCCGAGGTTCCTAATCGATCGGGTGTGAATTCGATCTCGAATTATCCTCTGTATTTCGATTTTCGATGGCTCGTCTGGCATACACGCTAACGGGGGGCAGGCACCACTCGGTCGGAGCTTGGCCTCTTAGCCTACGGCTGTCATTGCTAAAAGAAGAACATGCCGGTCAGAGGTTCGCGAGCTGCCCCATAGAATTTGTCCTCCAAGTATGCACACATTGGTGACCGCAAAGGGCTGCCGATTGACTGAAAGTGCATTTGCTATGTATGACGAGACTTGGCCCTCCAATTTCGCTGGCATGTCATCAAGATTGATATGAGGCCTAGTGTTGATCTGGCGCCCGATAGCTTCGATTGCGCTCTGAGGCCCGCCATGTTCATCGTCGAGAGTAAGCAGGGGGAGTTGTTCTGCCACGATGCAGCGTGGTTGGTCGCAGCACGACAGAAAAGGGATATGATCCACGCGTCAGGTACCGATGGACGTCGTACATATCTTTTGCTGTGATGGGCTGGCATGCGAGCGACCGGTTCGGATCTCCATCGTGGTTGAAGGAGGTCACCCTGGTACTCGTAGCGTCCAAGCTGGATTCTGAGTGGACAGTAACCGCAGCCTGCCTTGAGGTACGAATAAGTAGGCTCAGGGTTGACGCATGGAGCAGACCGAAATGGAAGCAGTTGTCTCCATCCAATTGCCGAATATAGCTTGACCATAATAGGTTCAAATGGCAAGCTCGTTTGCACGGGTCAGTACCTTATGTTGATAAAGGTCGGCATGGATGACACTCGTGCTGACTGTCAGGAAAGAATAGCCATGTGTCGAGGTAAGGTGAGATGTCCGTTATCATCGACCAAGTAACTCGACGCCCCAGCTAGGCGATCGTATACAAACAACTGTTCGTTGTGCTATTATACCGGGATAAGGCTGTGCAATGGTGCATGCAGGCCATCCACCAGAGGTTCCACCATACTGTGGTGGCTGTCTTGGTAGTGCCTATTGGCCACAGTACGTTCCGAATTGGTGCTGGTGCTGACCATGGCCGGGAGCTTCTGCATGCGAAGGTTCCATGCTCTTCCCAGTTATCGGGAGGATGGTCAGATCAAACGCGCTTAGTATCATGCCGTCATTGGAGGCCATGTCGAGATCAGACCCGGGCACCTGGTGAGAGAGACTCGGGCGGCCTTCTTGGATCGCAGGGTACCTGGTGATGGCTGAAAATGAGATGCGATGTGATGCCAGGGGCAGCGGATCCCAGTCCTCCATGATCCATGGACGAGGGAGCTTGGATGAGCATCTCCCAGTCCCGCAGAGTAGGTACACTAGAGTGGGCGAAAGGGAGGTAGGTAATCCAATGTGGACTATGTCTTGGATGCAACGGCTTCCGTCAATCCCCGTACACCGGCCAATGCAAGTCTCAAGGGGGACGAGCTGCCATTCGACCGATGCGAAGGCATGTTTGAGACTTTGATCGACGGGTCCTTCCCTCCAAATCCAAGGCTTCGGTATTGGCCCGTGAACCTGTCAACGGCACGGCTGGTGAGAAGAGGGCGAATGATTGTAGACAATCCTATGAGAGCCCCGGGTTAGCAGCCCGTCCTTTTGGTTCATCGCCTTGGCCGTGGAAAGACATGTAGGCTGCTGGTTTCAAGTTCTGCAAGGCTTGTAGATGGAAAGCAGCAGTAGCACCACCACCACCGGCCTCACTTTGCATGATTTCGCCGAGTCCTTCTGGAATTTCGAAAGCAGGCATCGGTGTGCAATTGGAGTGGCTGCAGTTATTTGCTAGTGTGTGGTTGATATCCGCAGATATGTGTAATAGGTAGGTATCAGACTAGATGCGGCAGAGTGAGGGAGCCTGTAACGGCGTTGACGAACAGTTGACGATAGCAATGCAGCTAGATCCCAAAAACTTGCATGAGGGCTGTCGGTCAACGCAGGCACAGGATGCAGGTCAGCGGACGGATTTGGCGTCATGTCAGGTGTGTGTATCCTTCGCTACATGGTGATGTTAGTGGTGGTCGTCGAGACAGAAGAAGAGCGTCAGAGGTGCAGTACAGAAGCTAAGCCGATGAGAGTGAGGTCATAGGTAGAGCAAAACGATTTCTTAGGTAGAACTCCAGACTTCAGAGACAGAGAGAAAGAGAGAGGGAGAGAGGGAGAAAGGCAGGCCCATGGGGGTCTAGGCCAAGGACTCCTGCTGCCCTGGGCTGCTGCATGGGACATGCTTGAGTCCGAACTCCAGGGTCTGGGAAAGGATGGATCGTGTGGTCAAAAGAATGGAAGGTATGGACCATCTGAAGTACGTATCTGTACCCAGCAAGGTACCTTACCTAGTGGTGGAGGAAGGTGAGGACCACGGGTGGTGAAGGAAACGGGCAAGAGGTATGAGGGTGTGCTGCCTGGGATGCCTGGGCGAGCGACGATGCAATGGGAAGGAACATGGGGATGCAGGTTTGCCAAAAAGGGCAAGTTCGTGTGCTTGATTACGAAAGCTTGCGCCCGCCAAGCCCTTCCAATTCGCCCATTTGACTGGTGCGCACAGGCAATGGCAGGCATGGTCCTCACGTGCTCGTCTCCACTGCCCTTCCCTGCCCTCCCTGCCTCCCGGGCTCCGTTCAGGTGACAGACCGCTTCCGTGGGAGGTTCACTAGCGACGTACTTCTGGGTAGGGATTCTTGACTGTCGTCCATACACATTCGAGAGAAATGCACCAATTTCAGCATTTTTTACAATTCGTCCATGTGCTGCAACTTGAACTAGGATTTGTCACTGGCGACTCCGAGACGATGCGTCACAACTTCATATCCTATGACAAGACGACGGCTTTGGTTGTAACGCGGGTCTCATTGCATCGCCCGTCAGTCGTCACCTCTATTGCCCTGCCCACCATCTACCCTCTCGCTATTTGGCCTCAATGCTGATAGCCGGCTAGCTAACACGAAGAACGGGATTCGGAGGACGGTCCGCCGTCAAACATGGCCGTCTTACACGATGCCTTGGTTCAGGGACCGGCTCGCTAGACCGCACGCTTGCCTAGAGAGTACACGAACTCGGCCCCTCCAAACACTCTACTAGGTACACTTCTCTACTGCTGGCCCTTGGGAAGATAGCCCTTCGACTGGCTGTTGATTGAGGCGCTTCAGGGACAGATCCAGGAATCCGTAAAGATGAGAAAGCACAATTGAATTCGGCGGAGCATCAGAGTAGTCGACCAACCAATTGATCGCAATTCACAGCATTGTGGTGCTCGATGCACGACCAACTCAGGCACTCCACTGTCGCACTGGGGCCGATGCATCTCTTGCAAGACGGGCCCGATACAAGACCTGCGTCAAAGTCCTGCAGCCCACTACCGCAGACCGTACGAAGTACCGCAAACTGCCAGAAATAAGATACATCAAGACGTTACGAGGCATTTGTGTAACCCCAACCCTAGGCTATTACTCTCGACTCTCGAGCCCATAGAGCCCCCCCAAGTGCCAAAGATTCTAATGTCGCCTATAGCAGCCTGCGCTCACCGAAAGCCCCAAATCCGGCTCACCAAGACATGTCTTCGCCCGGTCAAGGGTCGCGACCCGGGCGTCACGTCCTCAACGGTCGAATTGCCGCGCAATCACGAATGCGCGTCTTTCGGTGCCCGATGGCGAACGGTCCGATGCCACATCTATCCCGTGGCTTGCCACTCCGAGCGCCCGGCGTGTAGGCCCATCTTGGGGACCGGGCGGAGAGGTGGAGGTTGCAGCATTAGGAACCCCGCCGGTTAGGGTTATGCCAATCGAAGAACACTCTCGATCCCCTCATCCCCATACGAATACCACGTCCGACATTCATGACCGGACTTGGTTGTGTTGTTACCTTGTTCTATTAGCAGCGGCACGGAGTAATTACCTCGGACGAAAGCTGCGATGATACGTCGACCGATATCACTTTCTCTATACCCAAATCTGCGGGATAATCAACCTCTTCGCGTCTGCGTATCTGCAGAATCATCGAGCAAATCCAAGGAAATAATCGGACCATCATTATGCACTTCAAATGACTCTATCTCGCTGTGACTGCTTCTAGAGTGCAACAGCCTCGTCGAGCCGATTCGTATTTCACTTTGTGGGGGATCCTCACTGGGAGCAAGGATTTGCTGTCTCACAAGGAGCGCAAGCGATTGGGCAGTGAGCGAACCAGCGATGCTCCTCGAGCTGCCACTGGACGTCATCCAGGGATCGACCCCTCGTTGTCGTCGCCATGGATGAGTTACGGCCCCTGTCTACTTAGCTTCGACACAGCCTCGCAGTCAGCAAGCCACCGCGACTGAACCACAAGGGCCTCTTCCCATCACGGTGGGATCAAGAGTCCCGGTCCATTTTTATCTACCGCTCAACGCCGCCGCCCCGTCTCTCCCACCACGTCTTGGCCGGAGTCGCCGTCGGTCTTGTGTGGGGCTTTCTGCTCAACATGTCCACACTTCGACGTGTTCAACTGCCGCCGTGCCGTTCAAACCTCAGAGTATACCGTCATTTTCTCCCAGGTTTCTCACTTGTTGAAACACAAACAAGCACGATGCATGCGTGGCCCCCGGATGCCTGTCTAGTCGGCTAGAAGTCTCTCCGCTCATTATCCGCTGCAAATGCACTGATCGTGGGAATCTTACGAGTTACCCTAATTCGCGTCTTTTCGAACCGTCATCAGCATCATTCTGCATCAATGCACCAGGAAACCCGCACTTCTCTCCCACCAGAAGCATGTCTCGAACATGGAGCTCCCCGGCGTTGTTTGTGTTGGCGATACCCTATGCCGTATCATCAAGAAGGAATCACGGGGAATTACAACCCTTCCCCTCTATTTCCTACCCTCCACTGGTCCGGTCTTCCATTGCGGCAAGGGATGGTGATCCAGGACTGCACGTCACAGTTGAAGCAGCAGGGCCAGTGGAAGTTGGCGCCGGCTTGTGCTGAACCACAGTAAGGCGTCCCCAGCCACACCCCGTTTCCATATCCGTGCCTCGGCCGGTGCGTTCCCTGCAACGGTTCCCGCGCCGTCCTAACTTGGTCTGTTTAGTGTTTCCTGTCAGGCTGACCCGTGCCACATCCACTACAGAGCAAACGAACGGTTGAACCTCACTGCCGTCAGGACTCAGTGGTCACCAGGCCCACTCCAGTAGAAAAGTCCCCGAGCCGTGCTGTGGCTTTCCTCTGTTCCCGCACCTATGTCTCAGCTCCCGCGTTGGCCTCTTCCCGCGGCCACACGCCCCTGGCGATCGAGAAGATATGCCGAGCTAATTGACAAGTCCTGGCGTACCGGTACAACCAGAATGTTTTGATACAGCGGGACCGTTGGGTGCTACCTACCCCCAAGGGAGTCGATACCGAACTCCTTCTTTGTTGCAACAATGTCTCGAAACAACAAAGTCCTACCAAGTGGCAAATGTGAGGCTCAATGTCGAACGGGATGGTCTCGACCTCGGCAAGGACCCCACGCCTGGGAAACAAGCGCTCAGAGAAGGAACCAGCCATCCCATTCTCCGCTCCAGCAACCTCTAGGCAATCGTTTTCTCGGCGCTCGCAAACCGTCCAAGCTTTGACGGTTTGCCGATCATTGACATCCGCGCGGATCCGTGGGGCCAAAAACACTCGTCACACACGCGATGAGAAAGGCGTGGTGAATCCTACAAGGCATTCTTGTGCGCTTCCCGATTCTCCCCCACAAATGTCGTCAGAAAGAGAGCCGCCTTGCCGCCAGCGAGCCTGGACTCCCTCTCGATGAGTCGTTCAGGCAGGATTCATCCTTCGCACCCGCTGTCGGTGTCCGTACAGGACCGTACAGCAGCTCTTGACGTGTATTCTTTCTTTTCAACCATTTCCGCTGTCTTTGGTCCCGCGAAAGCAAAAGGTACACCCCCCGGCCAAATACCCGCCCTAACAGCCCCGAAATGCAATACCGCAGCCGCACCGCAAGCGCGCATTTGCTCCACAGCCAGGGATTAACCCATATATCTTTCAGCTACTCCGGGGTCTTGTCTTATGCCCTTGCCCTTGACTTTTTGACGCTGTGCCGCCGCATTTCCTGCCGCAGTACGGATGATTTAGGAGGTCCCCAATGTGTTCATTCCTCTGCGGTCAAGGGGACCACGGGATGTGAAACATGAGATCATGGAGACTTTGGGGCCTTGGAATGGCCTAGGCTCTTTCTCTATTCGGTTTGTCTTTTGAGACCCACGATCTCAAGCCAATGCTCGGCCTTGCAGAGAAGTGAATTCCATTGAGTCAAGATCGCAGGTGGAATCTCCCGGCTCCCCCCCCCCCCCCCCCCCCACACCGCTCCTCGTCCCGTGGAGTACCAAGCATCTAAAACGGCAGAATCAAGAGTCATGAAGGAGGTCCTCCATCATGGTCTGATGCACTTCGAACCCAAGTGCTATCTATCTCACCTCGTAGCCATCAGTGCCAAGGCCCGTTGGGAGACGATGAACGATCCAATGCTTCTCCATGCCCAGGTACGAAGGGTGGTGGACATTTTGCTGCCTGCAGTATGTACGTCTTTACGATACAGCACACATCCCAACTACCCTCTCAACTTCCGAACCGTTCTTCTCAACCACTCGTCGTCAGGTCCCTCGGAGTCCAACATTGTTACCTAGAAACAGTCCCCCCCAAAGCCAGCATGGCGCAAGCTTTCCGGCCCCCAAATGATTTAGGGTCCGGTAGTTGGGGACTCGAGGGTGTGGGAAAAGAAACGGCGTGGCGTCTGTATTTCCGAGTCCCTTCTCCCCAAAGAGGCCAAGGAGGCCTCGACCACCCGTTTGAATCATGAATCCCTTCCATCTGCTCGCGGAAAACAGATACCTGGCAAAAGAGATCCAAATGCGTCGGTAGTTAGACCTACTAGGGCGTACGGAGTACAGTGCACGCCAATTCAAGCCCATCGCCGTCCATGTACCTTACCCCCATTCCCTCCCTCACCCCCCTTTTTTCCTCGCCACCCGGCACCCCTAGCCAGACGTCGACATCACATCACATCACGAGATACCTAGTTAATCCAAGCCAAACAAGAGTCACAGTCGTCAATTGCCTACATTCCACGTCTGCCTACCTTTACGAGGTGCCACCGAGGCAGGACTGTCCGTCTTCTTTTCCATGCTACGCCTCTCCGTTTCCATCAAAGTTACCCTATCGTGATGTTTGTCTCTCCTTGTTTTGCAACATCTGTGTTTCCTGTAAATATCTCGAAGCCTAGGAGGCATACTCACGCCTGGACTCTTTTCTCCCTTCCTTATCCTGATTCAGAATCATCGCAACGGCGTAGATGCCAGACAAGACCGTCTGCCTACGTACCCTACTAAGTAACCCTTCCCCCCTCCTCGCATTTGCGTAGCAGTCCTAATGTCACGATATACCAAACACACATCTCCCTGTCAAAGTGAAGCGTCCATTCGTTCAAAAAGGGCCATTCGTCATTATTAATATACATATATTTGCCTACATCTCTATCTCTCTCGTGGTGATCGTGGTAGGCAACAACACACAACATACCAGGTCGCGTACAGCCGGACCTAGCCCTGTCCGTCGCGGCCGAGAAACCGGCCACTCCCCCATTCACTACTCCACACCGGCGAGCCTTGGACTCACGTCTTCTGTGTGTGTGTTTATATATGTGTAGAACCGGAGATACGTTTTGGGGGGGGGGGGGAGAGAAAATAATGCGGTTTGTTTTTATGACAACAGGGCTTTCGGCCCGCAACCCCCGACTGCGCACTCGTCATGAAGAAAATTGCCCTTCCATGCCTAAATTTGACTCCTTTCCTCCCGGTTGTGACTTTTTTTCGTGCTGGGTATTGCGTCACTCCATTCAAACGTGGTCATGGCGCAGGAACATGTTCGCTGTTCGTAAGGGATGTAGCGCAGAGAGGGAATAAAAAACAACAACAATCAACTACCCAATGCCTCATAAACCACATCTAACAACCGCTTCAATACTTCTATTCGTCTTCTGTATGTGCGGCGACCACAAAGTTATTGAGGGGGTGCTGCTCACAAACCCCTCCGACTCATGGCTGCAGTGGCTCCGGCGGAAGCCAAGTCTTGTTTGGCGCTGACGCTCCTAATTGCCGCGCGTGGGAGACTGCTAGTGCCAATGGTGACACCTCCCTGGCCTGTGCTGGTTCGTTTGGCTGTAGCAACGTGAACCGTTCCACTGGTGGCTACAGATGGCCTGCGAGATGATGCCGTTGACACGGGCTTGTGAGGGCTCGCGCCGCTCACGTCTCGGGATCGAATACCGCTCTTGAGCCCGGAAGCCGGAGGTTCGGGAAGAGGTCGTGGCGCACCAACGGTGTGGCGCTTCACGGGCGACGCCTCACGTGCCGTCGGAACTCGGGGCAGAGGAGCGCTCATCTTCTTGCCGCTGATAAACTCATGGTGGATGGCTTCCTCAGGCTTGAGACGCCTGTCAGGGTCCCATCTCAGACATCTCGCAAGGAAGTCCAGAAATGCCTCATCGTCGCACTTAAGGACCTGTTGCAGTGTCTTTGAACTAGGGCGGCGCCTCCGGCCCTTGGAGGACACGGTCAGGCGCGGCTTGCCCATGGAGTCGAAGAAGAGCTTCTTGCGGGTGCTCTTCTCGATAAGATGCTTCTCTGGTGGACCAAAGACCTCCATGATGCAGGCAAGTTGCTCCTGCTCATTCTCTCCAGGGAAGATTGGGACTCCCGTATAGAGCTCGGCGAGGATACATCCGAGACTCCACATGTCGATGGGCATACCATACGTCATGCCTAGGATGACCTCAGGTGATCGGTAGAATCGAGATTGAATATAGGTGTACACCTTTTCATTTTCGAAACAACTAGAGCCAAAGTCGATGACCTTGATCTCCGAGTGCAGCGGGTGCCGAAGCAGAATGTTTTCGGGCTTGAGATCGCAGTGGATGACCTTGTGCTGCTTCAGCAGATTCAAGGAGCTCAACATCTGTTTCGTCATTCGCCTAATGAGCTTGAGTGAGAATCCGCGGAAAGCGTTTGCTTTGATGAATTCGTAGAGATTCATGTCCAGAAGTTCGGTGGAAATGCATAGATGTCCCCGGAAGTAAAAGCTGTGAGTAAAGTTGACCATACTGTGGCGGTTTTTGGGGTCCTGTAATCAAAGTTAGCCAAAGCGCTGCATACAGGTCCGGAATCACCTACCCATTCGCGAAGCTTCTGCAGAATGTTGACTTCTACAAGAGCCTGCTGATGGAACCTCTTCTTATTGCGAATAATCTTCACAGCTACGAGCACACCCGTCTTGTGGTCAATGCACCGCACAACTTGACCGAAACTTCCCTTGCCAAGCACGTCGATAATTTCGTACCGGTACGAAAGATGGTCTCCTGGTACAATAGTGTAGTCTCCACGTTCGTCGTCGTAACCAAAGTTGGGGGCATCAGATTGAAGATCGCCCACAACCTTGCGAGCGTTCTGCGTGCCGCAAAAGTAGACATCGTTATAATCGACGATTTCACCACGCTCATAAATGTTGAGCATGGCGATCCGAATGGCTTCCTGGGCACCCACTCGTTCTTTTGGCGTCGCACGTTTCCGTAATGCGTCGAGGGTCCTAGCCGCGATCTCCGTCTCTTTCCTTCTCGAGCCCATTTTCTTCATCTCTTCCTCGGCAACTAGGTCGTCCTTGTCGAGCTCAGCAGTCCATGGGTCATGAAGACGCATCGTCGTTGCTGATGCCTTTGGGCGCAGAATCTTCTGCATGACGGAAGGGTTGTGCGTGTCGTTAATAGTCTTGGGGACGGAGGCCGAGGTCCAGTTCTCACTCTTAGTTCTATCATGGCCCAGGCTCGCTGCTGAGCTCTTTCTCCTCCTTGATTCAAGGTACGAGTTGTTCGCCTTGACCGACGGGCTTGGGCTGTTCTTGGCTGAGCTGAGATTCCCGACCGTTGCAGAAATAGGCAACCGCGGCGGTGGCATCTGCTCCTTACTAATGCTGCGTTCAACAGTCTTTTCCGATGTGCTCGCTTTCGAATCCGTCTTGGAGGTATTACGTTTCCACGACAAGCTCAACTTCCTACGTAAAGAGCTCATTGAGGACGGAGTAGGTGGTTCTTCCGGATCCGAGATTGGCGGCGTGGGAGACTTTGCTTTCACAGGCCGTTGGGCACGGGGGCCAGAAGGTTTCTGCAGTGGCTTTACTTCGAGAGGTTCCGTGATATTCCCAAGGTCGCCTGTCTGTGACCTCTTCAGGAAAGCAGGATCCGCGCCGGGCTTGGGCACGGAGGAGGACAAGAATGGAGACACGCTGGGCTTTCTGGTCGCTTTATAAGGTACCGGTATCGGGACCCCTGCGAAAGACTCGGACGAGCTTGTGCCGTCAGCACCTGATGCACTATCAATTCGGGAGTGATGCACAGTGCTGCTGCTTCGCAAATTGGGGAAATCAGACTTGTCGTCCTGTCTGTTTCTTGAGAAGAAGGAACTTTTCGACGCGGTCATGGGGGTAGTCGGTGTCTTTGCGATGATGCGTGAGGGAGGGGGGCTCAGGTTTCGGTCGGAGCCATTTTGGCCCAAAGCTGCAATCTTCGCGGTCGTCGATGGGTTCAGCGGGCCGACAGTAATCGGGGGCAGCCGCACGGGTGGAGGGTTCTTCCTCGATGGGGGAGCGTTCCCCTTCTTTTCGGCATCCAAGGGGGCCGCATTCGTCGACTTCCGGGTACTAGCCTTTCGGGCGACCTTAACAGCGGGTTCGGGGAGGGATGGTATGGAGAAGCTGCCAGTTGAATTGCTGTTGATGCTGCTAGCATCCGCTGCGAGGTTGGCTTTGCGCTTATCCAAAAACGATGCCTCCGTGGCTGACTGCTGTGGTGATTCGTACGCTTTCGGAATAGCAGGCACAGGTGGGACGTCCTCCTCGTCATCGGCGGAATGGGGGTTATGATTATGCGGGTTCGACGACTTTGGCGCCGGTAGCCGCGATGTAGTACCTCCTACGACAGGCGCTCGAGGTTGAATTGAGCCTGTTGATGTTCTCACCGTATTGAAACTGTTGGTTGAGGTGATGGAAAGGCCGGAACTGTACGATTTTCTGTTGATATCCGGGGTCGTCCGGGAGGACGATGGCGTGGCAGATGTCTTCCGGGGTATCATTGATGGCGACCGAGAGTGCTCTCGATGCTCGAGCGGCGGTGGTGGCGGCGCGTTGGCCGCCTGGTTGAGACTCGGAGTTTGGTGCATGGACATGCGCTTCAATCTTCGCGTGTCCGTAGGACTGATGGTCCTGGCACCAAGTCCGCTTGCGTGTGACGCATGCTGCCCCCCAGGCATCATAGACTGCCTTTTTGATTGGGCCGAACCGTTATTAGTTCCTTTGCTGCCGCCTCGAGGGGATCTCGGAGAAATCGTTGAAAGGCGGGTGGTGTCTGGTGTTGATAAGTTGGCAGTATTTGATCGGGGAAGTGGCTGGTGCATCGATTTGGCCTTTGTCGCTCTACTGTTGGCGAGATTCCGTGGAGTCTCAAAGCCCATGCCGGCACCGGCATCCATCGAGGTCCGAGAGAAATCCGTTCCACTGCCAACGGTGCCCATCAGGCTCGGTCTTCGACGTTGAGCAGTGTTACTGCCAAAGTCCGTTTCGATGACGCCCGAGCCGATGGATTTCCTGGGTGGCTTCGCAATGTTGGTGTTTGATACCGGAGGGTAGTGGCTTTGCCGTCGAGACCTCGCTGCGGCCGTTGACGCGTCTGCGGCGGACGAAGGCCCAGAAGCGATAGATGAGATGCTTGGTTGTCTGCTGGACGTGCTAGGTCTTCTCAAGATTGAACCAGATCTTCCAGGGCGAGTAACGGGAGGTGGGATTCCACCACGCGCAGACGCGCCATTCTGGGAGATGTTTGAGACCCCGCCCATCTTGTCGGCCATGCTCTCCGAGTCGAGAATACCACCTTGGCCGGTCGGGTTCGGAAATTGAGTCAATTTGAAGTCGTGTGAGGCCGACTCGAGACTGCTCTGGAGGTCGTCGAAGCTAACTGAGGGCAGAAAATCGTAGGAAGGTGTCGAGTCTGCTACTTCGTTCGCGGCGCCATTCCGTCCAAAAGAAAAAAGAGGGTGGTTGTTGGCTGAAGATGCACTGAGCATTGGACCGCCGGCGAATGAGCCCTTTGAGGGTGAGTTGGTTTGCGAGTCTGGGATTCCCCTATTACTGCAGCAATCATCGGGTCAGCTCTCTGTAAGGTAGTTATCCACCCAGGGATGCATGGGTCAGGGCATAACAAAGCGGCGTGAACAGCAACGAAGAAGCGAGGGCAAAGTTGAAAGGGGGAAGTAGGAATGGGAATTAGCATACAGTCTGGTCGGGGACTGGTTCGCCGGTCGTGGGCCAGCAGGTATTCTATGCTCCCTTATCATGTGTACGCGGTGCAACGGCCAGCGCGCAGATCATGCGAGCGTTGGACGTGATATGGCGAGAAGGCGAGGGCGGCAGAATGTTTCGAGGGGGAGAATGTCGAAGCAAGTCGGGCTTGTCGACACAACGGCGCTGAAGGTCGGGTTCGCGATGCGATGCGGGCGAGCTCAGTCCTGTCAGGGAGCTGAGGGCATTGAAGAAGCTACCTCATTCCGGGACAATACTGGACAGGCACAGGACGACAAAGGGCGGATGATGGAAGGGTTGGCGATGTTGGTTGGGGTAACAGAAGGGACAGGAATTTGAAGATGCGAGGATTGGCGTTGGTCGAAAGGAGGCGGGCACGGGAGGCGTAAACCACCAAACTCGGCCTACGGTAAGGTAGGAGTGAGGTTGGAGAGGGCTGGTGCAGAGATGAGAGGAGGAGGACGACGACGAGTACTGCGAATGGGCCGGACTTCTCTTTCTGGCGGGCTGCGTGTGTCTACTGGTTGTTTTTGTTCGAGAAAGAAGGACCCGCCGCTTAAGTTGTCAGTGTGGTGGACAGTGGACTGGTGGTAGGCGGGCGAGCAGGTCACGACCAGGGTAGGTGGTGGAGCGTGCAGTGTGGATGGGGGATGGAGCCAGGAACGAGCACTAGAGAAGAGAGCACTGGAGCCTCTAGAGATTTTTGTCTTCTTTTTTGGCTCTTCCTCGTTGTTTCTTGAACCCCCCGTCAAAGTGGTACGAAGATGCGAATGAGAAGCGGTACATCAGTGTGGAGGAAAGACGGGCAGAGAAGTGGATTGTCATTTGAGATAGACAGTAGCAGAAGAGTGAGAAAGAGAGAGCAAGTAAGGTACTTCCTGGTTACCTGAGGTTAGCCCGAACGGGGGGAACTCTGGAGTAAGGTAGGCAGGTACCTAGGTCTGGAGTGCGAGGTCACTCAGAGAGTCCCGTCCCTTTAGTTTATTGTTAAGGTATCAGTACCTTAGCTTATGGCGCAAAGGCATAAGATGCCCAAGGCGAGGGTGGGCACATACATACAAACAAACATGGAATACTATTCGTAGGTACAGAGTAGTAGTAGTAGTAATCATCGACCACCAGACACGTTCCGTCACCCAGTCCCGTCAGGTTGTCAGTTAGGTACGCAACTTCCGGCCATTCTCTGAGGGGAGGATCTGTCATGCACCTCGCGACTGACCTGAGGGGGCTTGCTAACATCTACGGCAGGCCGATGCGGCAGTAGTGCAGGAAACGGGACCAATGTTGGTAGACTAAGCGAGCACCAATGTCCAGTTGATTGAGGGGAGTCGAGCGAGTTTATCCGTGAGGTAAGGTAAGGTACCATGTGCGGTTCAGGAACATACACCACTTTGCATGCGCTACTCCGTGCAGCTGCAGCACATTTCCGCAGGACCGTTCTAGCGGCCAACCTTGGGCAAATGACGGGGGGGGAAACATCCATCCGAATCGAAATGGGGGGAGAAAAACAAAAATGCGGCGGCGGGTGATGATGGAGTCCCTGGACCATGAATGCGAGCGAGGAAGAAAAAAAAAAGGGTGGTGGTCGGTGCAGTGCCCGCCGGCCCCTCACTCACATTTTGGCAAGAGCGAAAGAAAGGGAGGTCGGGGGACCGCTGCAACAGGGATCACCTGCTGATTGCACGAATTGCGCCAGTTGCTCATTAGACGCGTGTATCGATTAGTACCTTGCCTAAGACTTCGCCATCAAGAGGTACAGATGCTTCGTATCTTGAAATTAGGCAGGAACGAGAGCACTGCTGGAGAAGTGTCTCTCTCCTTCTGTTGATGTTATCACCACTCAAGATTGAATTCCAAGAGGCAAGAGCAAGATACTCAAGGTACTCCATAGGATCTGCCTTACTTCGCAGGTACCCATGGCAGCGGGGCGGTTCGTACCTCACACCGCATTCTCAGGGAAGGAACTCTCAAAAAAACCACCAGGTCGGTGTGATCAAATGATGGAACCCGTCAAGTCTAATAGCGTGCTTTGGGCCCCCTCCTATTCCCCAATTCCCCTCTTCCTTGGGCCCCTTGGACAATTGGCCGCTAAATAACCTCGATAAAGACAAAATGAGGCAAATCTCATGAACCAAGCGGATACCTTCCTGTGTACGGACTACGGAGTGCAGATACCTCGAATCCATCGCATTTCGTTCTCTGCAGTCTCCAGATCATACGGTATACCTTGCGGATGCCAATACCGAATACTCTATCGAGCAATTTAGCAACTCGGCACCATTTCCGTCCACCTACCGACCGACCCAAGTTTGTGGCTTGCCCTAAGTCTGAATACCCCGTACGGATACGCATTTCTTCCCGCTATCTCTACGAAGGTTCCAGAGAACTCGGACCCTGGCCGTTGAAGCGCGATCTGCGGCAGCGGGTTCTCTCATTTACCCAAGATTCTGCTGTCCACCATTACGAGCAGCCAAATATCCAGACACTGATACAAATACCTACCATCCGTGCTTGCTTTGCATCTACGGAGTAGACTGAAGACAGATATACCAGTCTACTCGACCTCTCCAATAGGTACGAGGCGTCGGCTGCTAACATCATCTAGCATCCAATGTCGACGCCTCGCACGTATGGATAGCTTGGCCAGCATGGCTAGGTTGACATCAACTCTATTCGTGCTCTTTCCGTACAACCGAACAAGCACGACTCGCCCAGGTCCCAGCGACCCAGATCAAGTTTCGGGTTGTTGCAGCCATCGCACGCGTGTAAGCTTCGCGGGCGTCGTCCCTCAGTCAGCGACTTTCGCGTTGCTGCATCCCATCTTCTCGTCGCTCTCTGTCTTTACTCCGTCCGTAATTCGTTCCAAACTTTGCCGCGACTCGTCCCAAATTGAGGGGCATCCAACCGTCGAAAAGAGCTTCCCGCGTTTGTCAAGCTCGCTGCTATTTCGACGCGTCTCTCGTTCCCGTTTGGGGCTAATTGGGACACTGCCGCGCCCGCCATTACGGTCCAGTAGCAGTTCGGAGCTCCAAAGATGCGTCCCTGCGTCACCGCGGGCCGTTTGTTGTCCTCGTCGCCGCATCAACCAAGAGGAAGACCCTGGGGGGAAAAGTGACATGGGGGGGGGGGGGGTGACGGGTGAGGGTCAAGTGCCTCAACGCCCAAAAGCAAGATGCCCATCTGTCCAGTGGAATTTGGGGGTTCTGTGGCAAAACGGCCTGCTAGCAAGGATTCCGAATGCTTGGGGGTCCCGCCATATGCAATCTGCAACCTGCAATCCTCCTCTCCGCCGCCCGTCCTTGGAGGAACACCGGTCGGTATTCAACCACAGCCAACCAAGCCGTTTCCCGACCAGATGCCCGTCACGTAATTTGTCCGTTGTGGTCCTGTGCCGAGGATCGCAGGAAGTTCATCCCTCGTCTCCTAGGACGACCATCGACGAGCCCAATGCCAACGTCGACGGGAGTCAGCAGGACTTCTCGCAATTATCAAATGCCTTCCCTTCAACCTGGACATCTTTCGGTATGGAGTAGCCAACGTGGACTCATAGCATTGGGCGGGTCACTATCACTAGCTAACAATGGCAAACCCCAGCCTATAATAATTGGCTCTGCATTCGGCCCCGAGCGGTGGCTTGTCTTACGGGATGGATTGATGATTTGCTTTTGCAACCAACGGTACGAATACCTGTCACTTGTCATTCGCAACAATTGGCCGACCTAGCAGTCCAATCCAATGGAGGACGCTGGCAACCCATACATGCGCCGTGCGTCTGTGGACCTTGAACGCAAAGTTCGAAAATTGCTTCATGCAACTTCAGTCGGTCGGGCTCTTCGTAGACTCTTTTCCCTTGCAGATCAAAGCTGTCAGAGCAACTTCGGTTGCGGCCGACTATTGGGTACCAGAGGAATTTCAGGACAATCATATGAAGTGACATGATACATCAACACAAAACCGCATCGCCTTGGTTCCTGATGCAGACCATCATTTCGTGGGATATTGTTTTGCCCAGGCCAACGACCAATCACCGAACATGATCTCCGGGCCTCTGCGTTTGTTTTCTTAATAAGGTGCTGCTATAGTCCTTAACCACACCGCCTACCTCATCGTCTCGCAGAACAGGGGCCCAGCAGATCTCTGTTTCGAACTCCCTCCGTCTGTTATGCGAGCCATCAAATTTGGGATCTATAGGGCACTGACATTCACAAACCAATTCGTCTTTGGTGATTCCGTCAGCAACAAGTCATCTCATGTGGACTTTGAGAGGTTTGGTGACTAGAGCGAGCAGAACCAATCGGCGATCCAAACCCAACTCATAAGTGAATCGCCTCACCTGAGCTATAGAATAAGGTTCGATCGAGTCGGCCAACTGTCAACGGAGCATTATCAAGCCTCGAAGCAGCCCGCTAGGCCGATGTCCATTATCGAAGCCTGAAAGTGGCTTTTCAAGACTACAGTTGAAGCTCTCGGGAAGAATTCCTGAGTCTTGACAAGCTCTCCAGCTCTTATTACGACTCGCTACCCGATCATTGATCTACCCTAGGTGTTGCCTCTAAGTCAAAGGAAACACTAACCCTCTGGCTCCATTTCAGCCCCGAGCCCGGGCTGCGTCGAGTCCCCAGCTTCTGCGCCTAACGCCCAACAGTTAAGGATCAATCATCCCGCCCCTCGTGTACACAGATAGCGTGTACAGAAGTACGGTTATTACGGGCAGACGAGCAGAGTACGGTACGCTTGTCACCGCGCCGCCGATAGTCTTAGAGCTCAAGCTTGCCACAGGGCAGGTCAACCTTGCCCTCGATAACTTGGACTGGCATGCGGTGGCAGAAACAAGACAGGGTCCGAGCTGATCAAGGGATGCATGCCTCCTTTTCTCTCTGGTGTGCACTCTGGTATCTGGGTTGCCAATTGCCTTCTCTGCCCAATTCCGTCTGTCCCGTTTCCGTTCTTCGGGCTTCCGAGCGGCGTCCATAACTCATCCTTTATTCCTCTCCTTTGTTACAGCTGCAAATACACTCATGGGCTGATGGTTCTAGAAGCACTGACCAACGCAGACGGCCAAAGTCATGGTCTAATCTCCCATATTCCCGTTTCATGGAGGCTCCTTCTTGGCCGGCAAACCATCGCCTTCAGTCCCAAGTTACTGATTCAAATATTTCATCCAACGTCAGGGGATCTTATTGAGTTGACTAAATGTTAGATCAGTTGACACTGAGAACAGCCAAAGTTTCGCACGAGGCGGCTTGCACCACTGGCAGCCTCTATCGACGGGAGAGTTACTTCCTGGCTTCAAGAGCTGAAACAGCCGGCCAGAATAACTCGAACTTAGACTCATCCATCGCCATCGTGTGCCTAGGTACTCTATGACTATTTTCTTTCTATTGTGTAGACAGACGGCACGGAGACAAATATCTCTCTATGAATGGGCCGAGCCAACATTCCACTTTCCTCAGACAACTTCCTCCCCGTCTATCCAGATCTCGTGGGTATTCCGACTTCTTATTGATCAGCCATAGCTAACCAATATCCGTTTCTGTGGCTCTTGGGTCTCCCCTTTCCATGGGCAATCAGCCAGACGGGTTTGGAGGGACGGGTGCGGGAGGCGTGGCCGTACAGGCAGAGACGCACACCAACAACTAAGCTCATTGCCGCTGGATCGTAGACAATGTGGTCAAGCTCCAGTGGGTTTTCTGTTCCTGCAAGACGAGGCCATTTCCGATGTGCGTTCTGATACGGGCAAGTGGTAGGGAAGGGATGGGGGCCATGGATGACATTTGCTGTGTGGCAGAAGCTTACTGGAGCATGTGATGGCTGCCACGGGCTCTGTGGATTGCGGTCTGCGGCCTGCTGGCATCGGACCCAGTTCCCCATGCTGCGGCCCAAATCACATGCAGTGGAGGCTTGCAGCTTGAGGGGAGCTTCCGCCGGTCCAGCCGGGCAGCTCCAATGACATTCCCCATGCACCAATCCACATCGTAACCTCAACGTCTCACACAGCTTCACAGCTTCCGGACATTTTGGACAAACTTAGCTCAAGCGCATCTGAGCTATCTACGCAGAAGACAAACACAGATCGTGTTACCACCCGTCTCATCATCCCCTTGCTTTTGCAGCGAACTGCACGCGCACCCACACTGCCAGGCGGCTGTCCGCCAAACGATGACGTGACCTCCCTTCAACGACCATCAACCCACCATCAAACGAAACAACCGCCGGCGCATCCTCTGCTACAACTACCACCACACACCCTGCGCAGAAGGTACGAATCATGGACGAGTATACGGCCGACCTCTTCATATCTCGCGACGATGCCTCGGATCATCAGCCCCATGCGCAGCCACCTCCGACTGTAGTGGTTGACGAGTGGCCTCACGATTCCGACGTCAGCGAGGGCACCCCGTCCAAGAAGTCTCCATCCGGCCTGCGCTCGCGCATCGCGAATAACCTCAGCAAGAAGACGAGCCTTCAAGATCGTCTAGTCGAGAGGTGAAGCCTACTTTCTCATAGCCACAACTCTATCTTCTTGAGAAAGAAACTGACGCTAACTGAACCGCTTCACCCAGGCTCCTCCAACAGGTCATCCCCGAGAGCTCTGATGGCCTCACAAGCGGCGGCGACGATCCCCTCGCCCCGGGCTTCTCCCCGGACAAGACGAGCACCTTTTCCGAGCGGCCCAACTTCAACATCACCACAATGTCCAACAATTTCCGCCGCTTCAACGCCCGCATCGGCGTCGTCTTCAAGTTCCAGGCCCGCGTCGTCCGCCTCCTCAGCTGGCGCCGCCCAACACACACCCTATCCCTCCTCGCCGTCTACACATTTGTCTGTCTGGACCCGTACCTCTTAACAGTCGTGCCCCTCGCCGGCTTCCTCCTCGCCGTCTTCATCCCTTCCTTCCTCGCCCGCCACCCGGCTCCGCCCTCCGGCACCCTATCCTCGGAGCAATCAGTCGGCTACTCCCCAAAAGGTCCGCCCCTCGCCCCCGCCCGGACTGTTAAGCCCGTCAAGGAGCTTAGCAAGGACTTCTTCCGCAACATGCGCGACCTTCAAAACTCAATGGACGACTTCTGCGTCGCCCACGACGGCGTTGTCGCCACCGTCCTCCCCATCACAAACTTCTCCAACGAGGCCCTCTCTTCGGCCCTCTTCCTCGCCCTCACCCTCACCACGGTCCTCATGACCACCTTCGCCTCCCTCCTCCCCTGGCGCCTCATCGCCCTCCTCGCAGGCTGGGCCGCCATCCTCTCGGGCCACCCGGCCATCGCCCCTCTGCTGACGCACACCCACGACACCCACGTCGCGCCCCACGAGGCCCAAGCCCGCTCCAGCGTGGACGCCTGGATCGCGGGCGATATCATCCTCGACTCGGCGCCCGAGACGCGCGAGGTCGAGATTTTCGAGCTCCAGCGCGCGTCCCACGATGAGTGGGAGCCCTGGCTCTTCTCACCCTCCCCCTACGACCCGCTCTCCCAGCCCCGCATCGCCGGCGATCGGCCCCGTGGCACGCGCTTCTTCGAGGACGTGTTACCGCCCGACGGGTGGGTTTGGTCCGAGAAGAAGTGGGCGCTGGACCTGTGGAGCAGGGAGTGGGTGGAGGAGCGCATCATTACGGGCGTCGAGGTCGAGACGGAGGGGGAGAGGTGGGTTTATGACATGTTTGATGAGAATAGTGCTGCTGGCGGTGGCTTCGGGGGCCCGGTGGACTCGTCGCCGACAACGATGGGGAAGGGGAAGGCGAGAGTTCCTAGCGCGCCGCTTTCGGGATGGGAGGAAGGGGAGGACGGGACGGGAAAGAGGGGGGAGTGGAGGCGGCGGAGGTGGGTTAGGCTCGTCAAGAGGCGGGCTACGATGAGTACTGCTTGAGGGGGTTAGATGAATGGATTGTATAGTATGGTAATGATAATGACTTGATATTTAATGGGCAGTCGCTTCCAACGTGACCCTCCAATGTAAATGTGGACATGAGGTCCTCTCTAGATTTGAGACTGTACACTAGATTAGATGTGTCCCGCTCGTAGCTCGAGTGTTCTTGATGGAGTACTGGTCAACTCATTACAGCAGTTGTCGAGACGTTTTTTTGCAGTTCCGAAGTCGTTATCATAGTGAAGTTACTCTACGAGTGTCTCTCGCCATCCCGGGTCATCACCTGCAACCGACATACTCATGTGTGGATAGTTGTTGAATCTTCTCTCCCGTTGGTTGCTTCTCTCCTATCTGCCGTCTCTCAGACCGAGTCTAAATGCAGCCCTATCCGGCATGCCAGCCGGTTAGAAAAAAAGGTGTCACCAAACCCCAACCAACACCGTAAGAAAAGCTAGAAGAAATGTCCCCATCGTTCCATCTTTCGGATTAGGTATTTCCATCCGTCCAACTGCCTGACCTCGTCCCATCCATCTAAGTGTCCCTGAGATGAAATTGCCCATCCCTTTGTTTTTTGGGAAGCAGTCTCCCGCCTCCAGAGAGAAATAGAAAAAAGAACCAGAAGCCATCCGTCATCAAATCATGAAGTCGTATTCTTATCGGCGAGGACCATCTTGTCGAGAATCTTGTGCACGCCCTTGGTCAGCCCGCGGCCCTCGTCGATATCATCCGCAATCTTGCGCGCGCGGTCAATGAGCACGCCGACGACCTGCTTGGTATACTTGAAGCTCCCCGTGCTCTCCATGCGCGCGACGGCGAAGCGCTTGACCTCGACGTCGTTTGTCTTCTGCCCGAGGATGTTGATGAGCTGCAGGTTGGACGGGTCGGAGCGGATGCTGTGGATGATGGGGAAACTGAATTTGCCCTCGGTCAGGTCCTCGCACATTCCTTTATTGTCCGAGTACTCCTTGGACGAGAGGTTCATGTAGTCGTCGCGGATCTGGAAGATGAGGCCCATGAGGTTGACGAGCTCGGAGCAGTCCGTCAGGCTGCGGGACTCGGCCTGCATGAGCT